CTCTCTCTCTCTCTCTCTCTCTCTCTCTCTCTCTCTCTCTCTCTCTCTCTCTCTCTCTCTATTAAATATATATTTATAAATATCTATATATCTCTCTCCTTAAATTAATATTCATATTATACCTCACTATATATCTATATATCTCCACAAACACATACACACACATATACAAACAAACACACACACATACATATATATATATATATATATATATATATATATATATATATATATATATATATATATATATATATATATATATATATATATATATATATATATATATATATATATATATATATATATGAATATGTGTGTGTTACTTTTTTTGTAAACTTTATAACTGCTTTGGCAATACATTTGTAACATTTGTCATGCCAATAAAGCAATTATTGAATTGAATTGAATTGAATTGAATTGAATTGAATTGAATTGAATTAAATTTAATTGAATTGAATTGAATTGAATTGAGAGAGAGAGAGAGAGAGAGAGACTAGCGAAGAAGTTAGACAATAAAGCACAGCTTCAATATTTACTAGGGGAAAAAATGAGTGTGTCCTTCTAGCGGCCCAATACATTAATGTCTGTCACAAAAAGAGAGAGCAGACCAATAAAAACTTCAGTGATGTGCCTGCAAACATCCACACACACACACACACACACACACGCACACACACACACCTAGATGATTATAAATGAATCATTGTAAATATACTGATTATTATTGTTTTTATTACTGTTTTATCCTAAAAATGTACAGTTTATTCTGATCTATTTTTGTATTGATTTGTATGAATAATTCATGTTGAATAATAATATTTTATATTGAATATTAATGTGATATATTGAATAATATGATGTATTGTTGATATTTTATTCAAATATTATATATAAATATCATCTTTTTTTTGGCTACTACTACTATTTACTGTGTGTACTGTTTTGTTTTTGTTTTTTTATTATATATGTATGCTACTTTTATGTAAACTTTATAACTGCTTTGGCAATACATTTGTAACAATTGTCATGCCAATAAAGCAATAAAGCAATTGAATTGAATTGAATTGAATTGAATTGAATTGAACTGAATTGAATTGAATTGACTAGCGAAGAAGAAAAATAATAATAATAATCACGCAGCATAGCAATGTACATGAATGTTACATATAGCATTTTAAATAGCAGTTTGTAGTCACCTACATAGGTTTACATCCATTCAAGTAAAAACAGTGTAACAGTGTCTATCCTCAGTATGTTGGTTCATTCAGAGATCCTCCTTGGTTTTACCTTAGTCGGATTATTTGGTGATTGTTGCGATTGTTCTGAGCCAGAAATCAAACCCTCGGTGACCTCTTTTAAATTTCCAGCTCTGCAAGCTCTTTCAGCATTTATAAACTCACTGATTTGAACAGTAATAATGCTGTTGAATCAGTTTGAGTTCTCATCCTTCGGAAGTGCATGCGTAATGGAGATCAGATAGTAAAGAGCTGTGCAAGCAGACTTTCCCTCCTTGGCCTCAAGAGAGTTCCTGCACTAACACTAAATTCATTGACAGCACGCCTGACTTCCATGAAAGAGACCCCAGTTGGTTGTATGGCAAGTAGGTTAAAATGTCCTCATATGCCAGAGACACCTGTTTAAAACCTGCTCAGGTTGATTGGAGGTTTAATGGTCGAGTGTATTAGGTAGGTAAGTAAACCTCCTGTGCTAAGGATGCTGTTTTTAAAGTGAGGTGAGTAGTTCCTGAGGGATTAAGTTGGTGTTGTGACCTGGACAAAAATATTCCAGGTCAAGGGTGTTGTGGATAGGGTTTTGGGGGGGTTGGAGCTAGTAAGATCTGTGCAAGTAAACATCACCACCCCGTCTCAAGACAAGCACTAGAAGCTAATCCAAGGGTGTACAGACCAAAAATGCTGGTTTGAAGTGGTACAAGTAGCTCTAGAAGGGATTAAATTGGTGGTATCCGGATGGAAGTAAGTTTTAGGGGTGAGTTTAATTGAGACCAGCTAATAAAAGCTAAGTAAACTCATGACCAATAAGTCATGGCCTCAAGAAGACAGTAGCATCTGATGCTAAACATGATTTTTGTTTAGTGTCTATGTTAGTGAGATGTGCCAGAGATGCTTGTTTGAAGTGGGGAGATTTGAACCAGTGAGGTAACATTGGTGTTTTGACTCTCCCTGGCTTTAGGAGGTGGTGTTAGCATGCCTCCCAATCCAAGGATGCTGGTTTCAAGTAGACCTAGTAGATTTGAAAAGGGTCATGTTGGTGCCATTACCTGATGGGTGTAAGGATTCGGGGTGAGTTTAACTAAAACCAGCTAATAACAGCTATTTGAGTAAACTTCACTGCCATGGCCTTAAACCACTTAAACTTACCGGGTCCGTGACGTCATCGACTTTCGCTTTCAGATTTAAAGGGCTAGCATTGCACCAGACCTCCGTAAGTGGTGTCGTTTGAAAGTGTAGAATCTATATTTTATGCACATATGCATCACTTTGGTTTTTATTCTACTGTATATAAGTGATTTACACTTAAATACATAGTATTTTGGATACACGAGCTAGGTATTTTACATTGGTTCATTTTCATATTTTTTTATATGACACATGTACAAGTTATAGCTCAAATGAAAGCTCTTGCCGGTGCTCATACAGTTCTAGCATTCTTTATACTGAATTATATTCACATATCAAACAGTTGCCGAATGAATCGCGGTGTTTCCATGGCGCTGAAGTGAAAACAATACATTCATGATCAATAAGCAGCCCCGGATAGCACAGACAGCCGTCATCTCTTACCTTATGCTGTGTGCTTCAGGGCCATTTCTCCTCTTTATTTGAGGTGATGTGCATAAGTAATCCTTTTATATGGCTGACGTGGTCCAAACACAGTGAATTATGTTTGATCAAACAAAAGAATAGTGAAATATGAAAACAAGGATCGGTCTCTGTGGCTTGTATAGCACCTCTCATCAGTTGGAATACAATAACTTTTGCATAGATTATGGTAGAGACCTTTTTCTTTTTTCCTATGATTACAGACATGTGCAGGAACCACCAAAATTAATTACAGCACGCTAGACCACACAGAACCTAAAAGGTACACTTTCAAATTTGAGTTTTTAAAAAAAAAATTCAAAAAGCGCCTCTTTTTTTAGGTGTTTATTATAACACAGGCAACATATACAGTTATTTGGAACACTTTCAATAGTGTTTTATGAAAATTCAAAGGGTTTTCTTTAAAATGATACCAAATTTTTGCATTTACACCTCTGCATGTGGATTTGGGAAGCTTTTAAATTTGGGTAGGCAAAATCCAGGCGGAAATCCCAAAATAACAGCAGAGTTTAACTGGTTAAGAGGCGCAGAAACAGTGGACGCTAAAAACTGGTTCTTTTACTGTTTTTGTTAGTGTGATGTCCCAGTAATGCCTTTTTGAAGTGGGGAGAGTAGAACCAGAGGGTTGTTTTGGTGTTGTGACCTGTACTTTATTAAGGTTTTGGAGCTAGTAAGAGTTGTACAAGTAAAATCATTCCCCTGGCCTAGCAACAAAGAAGCATTAGCAACTTATGTAAGAGGCTACAGTCTGTAGTATCTTCGGTAGAATGCATTCCAAGCTAATGATGCTGGTTTGAAGTGAAGGGGTTATCTAGATCTAGAAGGGTTTAAACTGGTGCCGTGACCCGGATGTGAGTAAGATTTAGGGGTGAGTTTAACTGAGACCACCTGATTAGAACTTTACGAGCAGCAACTTATGCAAGAGGCTACAGTCTTTAGTATTTTTGTAGCATGACTCCCAAACCAGGTTTGCTGGTTTCAAGAGGAGTGAGTGGATCTGGACGGGGTCAAATTGGTGCCATGACCCGGATGGGATTAAGGTTTAGGGGTGAGTTTAACTGAGACCAGCTTAGAAGAGCTATGTGAGGAAACTTCACTGCCATGGCCTCATGAGGTACAGTAGCAGCTGATGCTAAAGACTGCTTCCTTTAGGATATAGCTTAAGTAGGCATATTGGGATGCAGCATATGTTACACTTTGATGGTTTTGATGTTTGAAAACCTTGTCTTTGACCCATGTACTTTTCATGTTTTCGCAGTCATTGAGTTTTTAAATGAGGACAAAAAACGCCAAACAGGATGACACCTCTTCCAAATAGCCTGATGAGGGAACCAAATTTTGTGATAATTTAAATACGGAGACGAAGTCATCAATCAGCAGCCCGTTGTATACTTGTGTACACACCACACAACACACAACCTCCATGTGTTTTTTTTTTCTCAACAGGAGAAGATGAAAAGCAAGAATAAGTTGGTGCCGCGTCTGCTGGGCATTACCAAAGAGTCGGTGATGAGGGTGGATGAGAAAACCAAAGAGGTGGTGCAGGAGTGGCCACTCACCACAGTCAAGAGATGGGCCGCGTCACCCAAGAGCTTCACACTGGTACAGTACAGCGTTCACATTTACATTTACATTTACATTTAGTCATTTAGCAGACGCTTTTATCCAAAGCGACTTACAAATGAGGACAAGGAAGCAACTTACACAACTATAAGAGCAACAATGAATAAGTGCTATAGGCAAGTTTCAGGTCTGTAAAGTCTAAGAAGGAAAGCATTAGTATTTTTTTTTTTTTGAGTACAGTTAGTGGTATATCCAGAGAGGCAATTGCAGATTAGGAAGTGAAGTGGAGACTAAATAGTTGAGTTTTTAGTCGTTTCTTGAAGACAGCGAGTGACTCTGCTGTTCTGATGCAGTTAGGGAGTTCATTCCACCAACTGGGCAGATTGAGCGAAAGTGATTTCTTCCCCCTATGGGATGGAACCACGAGGCGACGTTCATTCACAGAACGCAAGTTTCTGGAGGGCACATAGATCTGCAGAAGTGAGAGCAGATAAGAAGGAGCAAGGCCAGAGGTCACTTTGTAGGCAAACATCAGAGCTTTAAATTTGATGCGAGCAGCAACTGGCAGCCAGTGCAAACGGACTAGCAGCGGAGTGACGTGCTCTTTTAGGTTCATTGAAGACCACTCGTGCTGCTGCTACAGCGTTCACATGTTTAGTGTTTACTCTATGTGTGTTTAGTTGGATGCACTGGGGCCTGTATTGATAGTTTTCAGCCATGTGACCTGTGTGGAGACCTGGTGGTGGGTACAAAAATAATGGGCCGTAATGGCAGCTATACTGGGCTTTCCATAGAAATGCAGCACAAACCGGTCAGAAAGTGAATATATAAGGGCTGTCAAATGATTAAAAAAATTAACGTAATTAATTACTCTTTTTTTGTAATTAATCATGATTAATCACGAAATGCCGTATGTATCACAGAAATAAAAACACAGCCATTTAAGTGCCATTTAAATTTCAAAACCATGAATGCCATCAATTCAATTTACATGGACTCCAACACTTTGCTTTTATGATTAAGATAATACTGATTAAGAGTCAACCATGTGAGCAGCGATTTTTGATTACCTTAAAGGATCATGTGAATCTCAAAACATTGAGGTTTTTCTTTTTGTTCGCCATGCGGTCAAATTCCATTAGAACATCCTGAATGAAAATCTGCTGAATGAGAGTCAACTGCTGAACTGCAGTTAAAGTCTAAAGATTAAAAATGAAACACCCGAAATTGCATGAAACTCTGGAGGAAACGCAGGATAGCCTGGTGATGCCACATTAATTGTTTTATACTGAAACTTTCCTTCTAAAAGCGAGTCCTTGGTCTTATTCGAATTTCTTGGCACGTTAAACACACACAGGACCAGAGCAAGCTGAACTGACGCTCTAGTCTAGGCAAACAGCAATCACACTGTCCTCAAACTGAAAGTGACCGGTTTGCGGATGACAGTTAGGATCGAGGGGGTTTGCTCACTATTCTGCTGCCCAAGTCAGCCGCCAAGGTCGCCCCTATGCACGCGCCGTCCCTGAACACACGTCGGCCACAACAGGAAATAAAAAAAACTGCAACTGCATTATTTGCATTTTTTTTTACACAATAAATATTAAAAATTAATGACGTGCGTTAATGCGCTAATTTTGACAGCCCTAGAATATACGTAACATTATTTTAACTTTTACATTGATAAATTCATTCACCTATATATATATATATATATATATATATATATATATATATATATATATATATATATATATATATATATATATATATATATATATATATATATATATATATATATATATATATATATATATATATATATATATATATATATATATATATATATATATATATGTATATATATATATGTATATATACATATATATATATGTATGTATGTATATTAGGGATGTAACGGTATCAGAATTTCACGGTTCGGTAATACCTCGGTATGAATGTCACGGTACGGTATTTATTGAATCATTTACAGGAAAAAAAAACTTTTGAAAATACTCCAAAAAAGTGCCAAAAGTGTCAATGACATACAAATTAGCCATCTATCTGTAAGCTTTGAAACACTAACTTCAATTTTAATAACAAAAAAATATTAAACCATGTAAAAAAATAAAGTTTCAATTTAGTATTGTTGAAAACTCATCACATTCAACATTTAATCACTCACTCACTTAGATAGAGATGGGTTTAAAGGAAAATTATCATATAATTATAATCTGGTAAAAGCTGGTATCTCTGGGCATTTACAATGTCCCCTGCAACAGAAAAAAACCCTCTCATTTGGTACTGAGGTTTCTGGAACAAGAGAGATATGACTTGGCCCAGGTTGACAGCAGTGGGGTAACATTGTGCATTGTCTTTCCCCCACTTGAGAAGACAAATCATGAGTGAGATAGAGGTCTCTTTGCGGTACAAGTCAATGTCTGAATCAATCTGAACAGTGTGCTGTGTTTCTGCAGTCCCCATGACTGTTATTAGTCGTATTCCCCAACTTGCAGGCACGTGCACACATAGGGCTCAACCTGTGCAGTGCACATGCCCTTTTTAGTCTTGGATAGAAAATGCCCTTCCA